ACACTTACTTGATCCGTTATGGTATGATATGGTTGAAAAATAATTATGCTAATTTACACTTTAAATTATAAATAATTAAGTAATTTGAATATATATGTAAATTAGCGTTTAAATTAAATTAGCATTGTCAAAAATTCCAAACTTTGACCTTATTTTAATAAGCCAAACGGATAATAATTATAATTCAATATCTTAAATTTAGATTTTCATGTTGAGTAACACATTTTAATTGCAATTACTTAGATTCTATTATTCTCTTATATCAAATGATTATAATAATACATTAAGCAAATCATCAAAGTCAATATTGATTGCGAATTTTTCTTCGCAAATTTTCACATATCAATGTAGCCTAATTCACCAAAACTTCGATAACAAGTACTGACTGAGGCGATATTTACAGGTCACAAATGATATTTCGTTGCAATTCTATATGAGATATTTGAACTGTTCTACAAAATAAATGTTGTCAAACATAATGTTTAGATGGATTGAATGTTGCTAGAAACGTGGTTTTTTCCCTTCACTACACGGCGACCACAGGTCAGGAGCTGGTATGAATATCCTAAAGATCTGTCCACACTTTTACAAAATTTTACGTGACGAATTTGTGTGATTTTTACTATACTTTTTATACTGGAGCGTCAGTTAAATTATCTGTGTTCTCAGATACTGGTCTACAAAAGTAAAATTGTAATAACTTAAATTGCATTAAGGACGTGTACAAATATTTTAAAAGTTTCTAATAGGCCTAATCCATACACAATGCCCAAGAGTTGATTGATATCGACTATAAATAGAACCAATTCAAATACGGTACAGTACTTCTTACCCCTAAGAATTAATAGCAAATATATCTATACTATTTTTTAGGCGAATGCGCCAGTTCAAGTTATGGAAATGAAATTAAAACTGAGATCGTAAGTAGATTTACTTTTATTTATTCAATTTACATACCACGCAGTATATAAATATACTTACTCAACATCTAACAAAAAGGAACTAGATGATATATACATAACGTATTAAACAAATATAAAATACTAATTAAAATGTAGTTGTAGGGCGAGAAGGGAGCGAGTTTTTCGAAGGGCGTGCGCCCGCCCCCTTCCCTGCGCCCTCCCCTAGATACGTCACTGCGTATCAAGCTCTTAGGGCAAGTTCCTTTTTCAGTTGCATGAAAAAAACTAGGCCTAGCTAAGTGTCAAATTAATATGTGAGCTATTTAATAGACACCTAACCTAGTACCAATTTCAATTTAATGGATTTCACTTTCGTAACAGTGGCACACGTTGGACAATACCCAACAGTGCATTCAAATATAAGAAAAATAAACTTAAACTAGAAAGAGTAGTAATTGTCTAGGCCTAGACCGTTTAAAACTGTATCTGATCGTTTGCCTGTCAGTGTCCCGCCCGCTGGTATTAAAACTTATAAAATAACACCTTTTGTGGTCATGCCCTGTTAGTGTTACAATTTAAAAGTAGAATGCATAGGCTTGTTGGCCCAATGTAGGCCTAATGACGTGTTATATATTATTACACTAAATAGTGAAATTTAGAACAGCTCTGCAATTTTTCGATCCTCTTATTATTAAACTAGTGCAAGGCAAAGTTTTTTTTATTTATTTGTGGTTGGTAATTTGTGGTTTCCATATATCTTAAACTAAATATTTTATTTGGGATTTGCCTTGTCATATAGCGAAAAAAAGAAAATCACACTCATTGCGAAAATTTGTTTGTGTGTAAGCATGCCACAGGGGTGAGGGGTAGGGCTGTCTCTTATACACATCTAGATGTGTATAAGAGACAGCCAACTGGATCCGCCCCTGTGCGTAAAAAAAAAAACTACATATGTTTGGGCACGGCGGCAGGGTTGGCACGGCGGGTTTACGAAAGGACCGACCAAATGCTTCGCCTACGATGTGGTCAAAAGATTTTAAACTGTAGTAGGCTAGGTCTAATTTAAGACAAACCACTTATTAACATTATCACTATTGGTTTCTATATGACACTAGATTCGTACAATACAGAAAAGCATTTGTTGGAAAATGCAGGCTTAAACGCAGTAAAGATAAGCCACAGCGCCATTTATAAAACATAATGTTTTAACAAACTAGTAATACTGTAATGGGTTTAATTTTTGTAGGTTGTTCAGATTAGTTGGACGTTACGTAGGCTTACTTGCCGATCCTGATGAAAACACACGATTCAGGAGTATCATCCGTGGACAGATAATGTACGTAGAATATGACAGTGATGAAGGTGTGGATTATGGAGTGATGTCACCACACTCAGTAAGGCTTAAGTTTTAATTTTAATTTCGATTAAATTTGCATATGAAAATGAGATGTAAGAAAATACCTGATATGAAAATGAAATGTAAGAAATTATATTGTAAGCAGTAGGCCTATTGCAAAATCTTTTGAACAAAGAAACGATGATAGTCGTAATCCCCCCTACAGTCACTGATATGTTTCTGGCCCAACATGATTACTTTTTGTGTATTTGTTGTGTAAGTGTTGATGTTTTTATTGAACTACCCTATTAAAACAAAATTCTAATCACATGTACACTATTCAATAGCTCTTCTTCACTCAAAATATAATGTGTTGTACATTTATATTTTTTCCCCTTTAGGCTGTTAATGATTACGATGTTGCGTTATATATTAACTTTTAATTGGACAACTTGAAGGAACAACTGCCAGGAACAGAGCTATATTTCCAAAGGATGTAGAAGCAACCAGAAAATATAATTTGAAACAGTAGCTGTATATTACCCAAGTGGCCCACAGATTATGTTTAGACACGGAGGATTTCACTCCAAATTGACAAGAGAAGCTAGTGATTCGATATTTCGTTCTTTATTCGAACATTATCAGGAATTAAGATAATTTTGCCCATAGTGACCATATACCAAAAACGAGATAACGTAACTAGTAAATAAAAATGATAACTTAACTAACTAATTAAAATCTGCTTAATTGACCAATCAAATCAAACAAGGTGTGACATTAATAAAGAATAAACAAAATGCCTTTTGCTGTGAATCTCGATTGCCTTACTGCCAACTCTTTCCAACCTCTGTAAATGGTGTAAAAAAAAAACAAAACAAAAACAAAAACCCGAATCATGCAAATATGTGTGGCGGAAAATAAACGTTACAAGATGTCCTCAATTCATGTTAATTTTCTTTTGCGCAATTTTGATTGTTGAATGAAGAACGGTTGAATAAATAGTATAATATTTTATAAGAGCACTGAGGCTGAAGTTGCTTAAACAAATTATGAACGATTTTTTTTTCTCAAAAACCAAGTAAATGATCACACAGTGTGACCGACCACTAAACTAATTCTTCCATGGTATGACGAATATAGCAGTGACATATTCAAAGGCATAAAAAACTCAGATATTCGTTAATCTATAAAATGTTTGACAAAGGCACCAGAATGTTTTTTGTTATTCATATTTTTGTTATTTTCGTTTTAACACAAAAACTCTTGTATCGATAGTGCATGGGTATTGTTCTATTACTCGGTAGTACGACGAACGTAGCAGAGGCGGATTGGTATCGTTGACAAAAAGATCTTCCTTTCACACAGTCAGAATACAGCATTCTGATTGGCTAGTCATACACACAATGTCACCAAATTCTTTCTTTTGCTGTGGCTTTATTCTGACAAATTGGAAATAATTCCCATTTATGATATTGATATCTCAACAAATATAAGGGTTTTGAAAAAGATGCTTAGTTTGAAATGTGCAGAATAGTACCCGGAATCACGTACAACCAATTTTTGAAAAATTTGTCCCAAACTTCCCTTTGCCTTGGGAGGGCAGCATATCTAAAATAAATATAAAAGCAAATCAAATGTTCTGGTTGTTGATTATAGACAAAAACACTCTTTAGTCATTTATGATAATTTTGAAAAAAATGTATTCATTTTGAATGCGAGGTTATCATTTATTTTTAAAAACATATTATATATAATATGAAATTAAAATTTTACTGAATTTTACAACGATAGACTCATGATCGGTTTTACATAATATATGAAACTTACGTTACTAACATTTACATACATAATGCGATTATCATTGGAAGTGTATGGCTAACAAATCTATGTCATTTGTTACCAGAGCATCTCCGTAGATTTTTAATGGGAAAGATATATGTTGTTTGTTTACTTTTAGTGAGCGAAATGAAAAGTATCAACCGGATTGAAATATATTGTTATATTAATACAGCATCAATTTTTCAAAACAATATAAATGTGTAATTACTTGGGTGTGGCACTTTTGCCCCACTTGTTATTTATTTGTCATCGTATGTATAAATGATGTTTATAGGTACATTTTACACTCAATTATAGATAATCGTCTTGCAACCATCTATTTTTCAATATTATTTCAGTAACTTATCGTTATCGCATACCGGTATCAAATGTATTGATAATTTTAAAGGGTATGCTGTGAAAAAACTATTTGAAGTTAAATGTTAAGATTTTAGGGAATTGCTCTTGACATATTAATAACGGTATTTCGTTCTAAAGAAAACCCTAGTTTGTTAACTGAACTTTATTTTTCTTGATTTTCAAAGTCCAATTGCACATTTATAGTGCACATGCACATTTACATTCACCTGTACTATTCACATTTTGAGGATATTTGGGTCATCCATAGTTTTCAACATTTTCAATAGAGTTCAAATCATACTCTTCTGTTTGACCACCTCCCTCCTGAAATATGTTGATTTGTGTAATTTTGAGGTTGTCTTTTCAACATGTTCAAAAATAATAAATGGCCCCATTTGACTAGCACCCCTATTATGAGGACGGGACACTATCTGAACGTGCCAATGATCAAATAAATACATTTTCAACCCTATTAAGGGGACACTGTTTAACGTCTTGTTATTTCATATATTATACTCCTTAACAGTCTACCATTATGCCAATTTGTAACTTTAACTCTCAAAAGTATGAAGTTGTGCACTTACCTTAATACTATATGCATACGCATCCATAACGGAAACCCATGAAGTAAAGTAAATCGTCGTAGAATATACCTACTATACGCTCTGTTGGCTTTAAGAAATATATCAATAGGTTCAATCATACGAAATGAGTTTTATTTACAGTTCTACTCCATTATATTCATTGCATAGCAATTTACAATCGTAGGCCTAAGTAAATGATCACACAGTGTGACCACTAAACTTAACTAATTCCTTCGCATTACGAGTTAGCGGTGACAGATTCAAAGGAGGAAAAGACTCAAATATATGTCTATATAAATGTTTGACGGAAGACCTAATGTTTTTTTTTTTTTTTTTTTGTTATTCCTATTTTTGTTATTTTTCGTTTTAACACAAAAACTCTTGTATCGATAGTGCATGGGTATTGTCCTATTACTCGGTAGTACGAGGAACGTAGCAGTGGCGGATTGAATGACAACGAAAAAAAAAAAGTATTTTCAAAGTCCCCCACTTAAACGAATCCTCCACTGATTATTATGACGCCATTGCGAGATTTCGTCAACATAACTTTTGGTAGGCCTATCACTTAATCGAAATAGATAGACATATCCGTGTCAAAGGCTGTATAATTATTGTTTAATAATGGCTATATACAATTCAATTGACGAACTATAATTTTTTGAAATTAGGAAAAACAGTAATCCTATGTATGTAGGTAATATTAAACTAGTATATACGTTCAGTACATTGTCTTCACAATAAATTTAGCCTCTGATAACCGTTGCACCCACAAAATCGATCTAGTGGTTTCTGAGATGGTTACGAAATGTATACACAATTGCGTTTTTACTCGGTTTTGGTCCGGAAAATACGTACCGCACTTAGAAAACTGAACAGACAAAATTCATGAGTCATGGGTAACTGTTATTCTTTCCATTCGCTTTTAAAAGTGGGGTTTTAATTATAGAAGATTGGTGAAAAGTGGGAATAAAAATCGATATAATGTCCCCCTACTTTGAAAAGTGTGGGGGGAAGCGCCCCCTGTTCCTCACCGATCGACGCCCATGTATAACGCCCTAATAAAAATATTTTTGTTTTACTGCTTGGCGGAAATCAACCACCGTATATTTTGGCTTTTCCCCATGTGACAAACCGTTATCCTTTGAATTAGGCCTATTTTGTTTTCGTCGGGTATTTACTTAGGCCATAGAGAAAATAGAACTATTTTCTCTATGCTTAGGCCTACGCCATGGTTCGATGCACATGACATTATTTGTCCTTTGAAATAAGCAAATAAACTGTAGGAACGCGTATTATGTTTGACATTTAATACGGTAGCTCAACTATATTGTTCATGGTATTTGTGCATCATGAATAGGCCTATATTTTACTTCACTACAAGGAAGATGACGTATATTTTAATGTCATTATTTTTGGTGCCCATGCAAATAATGTTTACATTTGCCTATCTGAAACACTGACGCGCCCTACTCTGGTAGGAAGAAATATTTACGAGTTATATGAAAATTTGGATGCTGGTTATCTTTTATTTTGTTGGGCCAAAAAAAAGCTACTTGGATGAAATTCACATAGTTATATATATTAAGAATCGACAAGAAAAATTAAAATCTACGAAATTATATACCGTATATATTTTTTATTTTACTCAATTAGTCATTTTCGTCTTATTCCTTCCGATGTTGGCTGACGTTCTTTGGACAACCGTACCTCCTTGCTTTAAACATTAACAATGTATTAATAAATAATAATAATGTCAATTTCGTGTATCTTCGATAGAATCATATTTAAAAAATAATTCATAATTCACACCCTGCCCCTTGTGATATTTTGATAAAATCTTTGTATGAAATTCCAATAGGCCTACTAACTTCCCTGTTTATCTCACTTTTTTTTAATTTTTGTTATCAACTCTTGTAAATTTAAATTTACAAAAGTACAAGTACAGTCAACAAGCATTTAATAAAATATTAAATATTTTATTATTTAGATCAGACGTTTGTATTGCTTTCATAAACATTGTCCAACATACAGGTAATCATACTTTACTCTTCATTGGGAAAAAATAAATTTACAAACAAAAATACTTAAAATTTTTAAAGTGCTGCGATTTGTCATTTCTTATAGTTATTAGGTTATACTGCAGTGTATAATAAAAACTAACAGTGGGTTATGCGTTAAAATCAATCAAAATGAATAAATTAGCCGAGGTCTAGCCTAGGCTAGGTCTAAACGAGTGACTATATCATGTGAGTGTGTAATATTATGGAAAATAAGAATAAAACGTAAAATTGTGAAAGAATAAAGGAAGAAGGAAGAATAGGAAAGAGATTTGGAGCGGCTGAAAATATTTCCGAAAATATACAATAGTAGTCAATATGCTATTATTGCATTACGTTTATGTAAACAATTTTGGGCACTAATCATCAGAGGTCTCGGTGCCACAGCCTACATTTTTCATAATTCGAAATCGAATAGTGAGTAGATTTCCTGTACAATTAAAAATCGTAACGGTACTGGGTTTGGTCTACAGGAGTTCGTGCTTCGAACAGGTCATTCCATTCATAGAAGAAGCCTTTTAATGCTATATAAAATTGATTATAAGATAGAAAAATATTAATCTTCTTATTGTAGTAGTGATAGATACTATGTACACGTTTAATTATTGTTATTTATTCGTTATGACATTCGTTATGACATTATATATATAACAAACTCGTTGATAAGCGACGCCATAACAACAAATATCCAAACCTATTATTAGAAATATGTAGACAATTTACGTATCACTTAACACATGATACGGTACACGATTTTGACGATCGATAATAATGTACATGATGTTAGGCCTAAAATTGAAATTGAGTACTTTATCAGCTAATAAAGAACCACCGTTTGCTACGGTATAACATGTACTGGTAGTTACTGGGTCAAATTATGATTTTTTTTTTATAAACGAAATGCTAAACAGATCATGTTAATATTTTGAGGTGTTCATGGGACCATTGAGTTTATGGAGGGTCATAGTAGACATAACTCTTAATATGGAATGGAGGATCTATTTCGACTCTACGCATAGGTGTCCTGACAATATAGTGCAGTAAAACATTTAACGGTATGTATAAATAAATACATAATGTAAACATACTATATTTCATAATTTCGACCTTTATAAGTCTATACTTTTTGATATGGTTCAATAAAACCTATAT